GAACTGACTCGACAGACAGCACTTAACAAGAAGTCAAATGTGTTCCTGAAAGTTGTGAATCATCTTCATTTGTAGTATATAGTTATCCCATTATTTAAAAGACTTTCTCCCAAGAACTCCAAATACATTACCAGTGTTTCACACGAATTCTCCAAATTCCCACAACTAAGCAGGGCAGGAATCATCAGTTCTAAGCCTGAACCTTATCATGAATTCATTTGAAAGGTTCAAAGAAGTACTTCCCAAGACGCTTTCATCTAAGACATCTCTGTCCTTTTCTTCTTAAGGAAATTAAGTTATAGTTTTCTGGGTTTAGTGCCTCACACATTGCTCAGAAATGAGATTAGTATCTACTTAGATACTAGAAACAGAGCCAGAATGTCTAGTATTAGTGATTAAAAATTTTAGAACACATTAGAATTACATAGATGAATATATTTTTATTATGCATGTATTTTTGGAGAGTTTGACATATTCTACACATAACTGTATATATTATATATATATATATATATGATGAATCAAACAAAACAACCTGTTAACTATGTACATAAACCTCAAGATTGCCTTTTCTACATTGAGTATAAAGATGAATCATTACAAAATGACTGGCTCTCCAGTACTCTGATTTCTGGATAATGGAGATTTGTATCAGAAGTCAAGAAAGTACAGGCAGACTATTATTATAACCAGTTTGCAAAATGCTATCTTCGATGTCTGCCAATTCAAAATAATTGTACCCGATACCATGGTTAGCTGTTTGAAAAGTCCAGTTACTGGACCATGGTATTTGCTGTTATACCTAAAAGAAGTACCATTTGGATTCATTTTTAAAGTATTATCTTTCCTTTCCATTGAGATATAATGGTCAAAACAGTACCCAAAACCAAACCCATGACCCTGGAGTCAGTTCCGACTCACAATGACCCTATACAGACCCAATAGAACTGCTCCTTAGGGTTTCCAGGACTAAACCGTTGCAGAGCAGACAGCCTCATTTTTTTTCTGAGGCATGGTTGGTGGATTTGAGTCTCCGACCTTGTGCTTAGTAGCCCAGTGCTTAATCCATTAAGCCACCAGGGCTCCTTGAGGAAATTCATGGACATTTAGTTGGTTCCAACTCATAGCGACTATGTAGGCTTTCTGAAAAGCAGCTGGTAGGTTTGAACCACTGACCTTCTGATCAGCAGTCCAGTGCTTATCCTACAGCACCACACCAGGGCTCCATAATTCATGAAGTCATACTATTTAAAACTTCATAAAATTGCTAACTTTGGCTATTTTCTAAATTTGCCTTCATAGGAAATGTTTTTGTTTTTTTTTTAAACTTGTCTTTACAGACTATTATAAATAAATAAATACACTAGATTCTACAATCTATAGTTTTTACTTCTATTGCTACAGTCATACCAGGTTGTTGATGTTAAGTATCAGCGAGTTGATTCTGACTCACAGTGGCCCTACAGAGGGTTTCCAAGGCTGTAAATCTTCACGGGAGCAGGACACCTCATCTTTCTCCTGAGAAGAAGCTGATGGGCTTGAACTGCCAATCTTGTGGTTAGCTGTCCCGAACTTATTCTGCAGAGCCACCACACTCCCTGGGGTTTCTGACAGAATTTCTTTTTTAGACAGTTATGTTCAGCAATTGTATAGTTGGCTAACATTTAAAAGAAAAAAAAAAAGTCCTGATATATTTGATATTATCCAAATACCCAAATAGAGATTAAGATGGAATAAACGCCTGGCTGCCATGAAGGTGAAGTTGTACTTACAGACCATATAAATTCCATACAAATATCATCTTCATGGATATTTGTGCGTTTGAAGAAAGAAAAAAAAAAAAAAATCTTTAGCTGTTTAAAACAATCTATACAGATTCTTGCTGTATTGGCACATCATGTTTGCCAAAAGCATATGTATGTGTGTGTGTGTATAAACCATTTAGCTTTACCAAGGCTAATTATTAGACCTTTCTAACCAATGTTCATGTTTCCTTGGTCACAGCTACACTTCCATTACCTAGGAAGGCTCCTGGAACCCCCAGGCCTTCTTGTCTCAGCAGAGTACTGCTTGTCCTGCAGACCCAGGCAGGACTTGGACTGGTCTTTCAAGTTCAGTGACTCTTTATAGAGATACAAGGAACTTTTCTAAATGTATTCTCTTCAGGCCTGGCATCTAGAATGATGTGAACTCAATGATGATTTCCATTTATATGCCTGTTGTTGTTAGGGGCCATTGAGTCAGTTCCACCTCACAGAGAGCCTGTGCATAGTGAAATGTACTGTCTGGTCCTACGTCATCTTCACAGTCATTGCTGTGTTTGGGCCCACTATTGCAGTTTCTGTATCAATCAGTCTTGCTGAAGGTCTTCTTTTTCACTGACCCTTTATTTTACCAAGCACAATGTCCTCTCCCCTCCAGGGACTGATCGCTCCTGACTACAACATGCCCTAAGAGTGAGAGATGAAGTCTCACCATCCTCCCTTCTAAGGAGAATTCTAGTTGTATGCTTCCAAGACAGATGTGTTTGTTCTTCTGGAAGTCCAGGGTACTTTTCACGTTTCTTCAACATAATTCAAAGACATCAATTCTGCTCGATTCACTGTCCAATTTTCACATGTATACGAGGTGACTGATATCATGGCTTGGGTTGGAGACAACTTAGTCTTTAAGAGGGATATCTTTGCTTTTGAACACTTTAAAAGAAGTCTTTTGCAACAAATCTGCTCAAAGCAATACATCATTTGATTTCTTGACTACTGTTTCCATGAGTTCTGATTGCAGATCAAGTAAAATAAAGTCCTTGACAGCTTTTAATATTTTGTTTGTTCATCATGCTGTTGGTTATTGAGCCACTTGTGGAGATTATAATTTTCTTTACATTTAGGCATAATCCATACTGAATCCTGTAGTCTTTGACCTTCATCTTAAGTGCTTCAAGTCTAACTCACTTTCAGCCAGCAAGGTTGTATCAAGTGTAGTGAGTCTTCCCACAATTCTGATGCCCTAGGCCAGTGGTCCTGCATCCAGCATCCCATGAACACACAAGCCACCACAGTCCAAACAAATTGATAGATGCAGTCACAAATACCATTTACAACAGAAATAATTCTTTTAAGTACACTATCTTCTAAATAATATGCATTTCTATTATTACACGGTAAGGCTAAAATGTATGATGTAAATGTCATCTCTAGTGTTATCATGGTGGTTGAGATATTTTTGGATAATTTTGGGTTGCTACAATTATCCTAATGCTGTTCAAAGAGGCTCCGTGAAGCAGCAGGAGGGAATCTCAGAAGACAGGGCAAATTTCCTGCAAGTGCGGGAAAAAAATTTCACTTAAGAGTCCGTGTGTTGAAACCTTCAATCCTAGGACATCGCCTTATTACTGTGCTTTCATTCATGTTGCTCTGAGAAGCCTAGTTTACTTCAAATACACATGGTTTATAAGTTTTCAAAAGTTATTAAAAGGGTATGATCCATTTTATCACAACATTCTTATCCTAGGACAGAACATACGAGTTTATGTTCTGGCTAAAGAATTCTGGAATTAGTAACTTATGCTATTTGAACAACACTTGGATGTTTAGTTTTATAGTGAAAAGTATTTAAAGCAACCTGTGGATAGTGCTTATTGCCATGCAGTTTCCCTTCCCTCAAAGTCCTCCCTGCTGCCATGCAGGAGATGGCTTGGTTGAGGGGGACAGCTGCAGCAGCCAGCTGATGCCTGTCCCCAGGCATGCTCACCCATAATTAAGCACCAAACTTTTCAAGTGTGAATACTGTTCATATGAAAAACTAGCAGCAAGATAAGAGATGGTTAACTTAGTTTAATGATGAGTTGAATTTCTGATTCTGAGTATGTTTTAGGTTAGAATTTAAACCCTAAAAGCAGATTATTCACTGAGGTGAATATAAAGTATGTATATCGTGTAAATGAATCTGAAAGGGAAAGAATGTTTGTCCTAATCATTAAATCAAACTTAATTTTCTAACAGAAATAGCAAACAAACACTATTTAATATATATTATTGAGTGTACATTATATAATGTATATTTTATATATACATGTATATATGTATACATACATGTATATATATACATATATATATATATATATATATATATATATATATGCTTATGTATAGATATGTGCATGGATAAACAAATAATTTACAATTATTTCCAAATTTCATAAATTGTTCAATGGGTTTGGCTCTCAACACGACAAACAGGAAAAATACCCTAAGAATCACATGTCACACTTCATAAAGCAAACTGATCATTCATGAAACCCCTCAATTGCAAACTTGAGAGACATCTTTAAATGCCACAGAAATTTGCAGAGGCATGATACAAGTGCTAACCACATCCTAATTTTTTAAAAAAGCTTACTAGAACAGGAGGTTCATTGAGTCAGGTGAAGTTTTACACTTGATAAAAGTGTCACTTGGTGGCACGGTATTACAGGATAAGGCACTCTCTCAGTTGTGCATGACTGAGCTTCTGACCCCCGAAGGGACTGTCTGGATACATGTGAAATCAGTTAGCATCAGCATGCCACTGCAACAAAGGAAAAGAATAATTTCAACGAGAGTGCAAGATATTGCTCTTCAGTTTTTCACTAAAGTCAGAAATGAGGGGAAACAACAAATCGATCCGTGTATCGATCAGAATGACCAGCCATACAGCCTGGATATAAAGCAGCAGCACTGAGCACAACTATGTCAGACTGGGAGGGTAGCAGACCTGTGGTAGCACTCACAATGAAATTCTCCCTTCTAGAAGAAATTCAGGAGAGAAAGAAGGCCTGTAATTACTGTTTTCTCTTCAAAGCTCCTTCACTAGTTAAACACACTGAACTAAGTGACAGCTTTACAAAACGATTTCAAGTATTCGTTATCACAGTGAAAATGTGAGACCAATGCTATAGTGAAAGATCTGAAAGTTCCTCTGATGAAAAAAGGCAAGGGCACTAAATCAAAACATATACAAAATGCTTCAACGCATTTCTTTATGTGATATGAATAGAAAGATTATCCATAAAAAGTTAGAAAAATTAAGATAAATTATATATTAGTACACTTTTTCAAACACATTTTATATAAAAATTCAGAGTAGTGTACTGTTATTTCAATCTACGCAATAAAAATGCCTGCACATGGCATATATATCTTCTATCTCTGCTTGCATTTTCTCAGCAACAGGTTTATTTGTTGAAGTCATTTTTTTTTTAATTTTAAGTTTCATGTTAATTGCAAGTCTGACTGAATGATCAGTAAACCCAGCTGATTGGGACCCACTGTGGCTCCAGTCTCAGGTTCTCGATGGCAGTTTGTAGTTTTTCAAAGGCTTTGTCGAGATTGTCGTTTATGATGATCAAATCAAAGTAGTGGTTGTATGCTCTCTGAATGCGGGCACTTTCATCAACTGTTTTCTTCAAGTCAGAGTCCTGTTGAAGAGTTTTAAGAGGAAATGTTTATATTATAATGTGTATTTATTTGCTCAAAATCCAATGAAAAACTGATGTAAGGAATAAGTAGATTGGTTATTTGCTTATTGTAATCCTGATATGAATCCTAAAAATCTAGTCTATACAGAGTGATTAAAAGAATAACCGTGTGTCCACATGGTTTCATATCTTCATCTTTTCCATTTTTGAATAGTGTATAACCTTCTGTTTCATTGATATGAAGGTACGATTAAAAGACTGCTTCCAATTTTAGGGTAAATTTAAGGTAATAAAAGAATTACTGCAACGGACCAGTTTCAAGCATCCATTTTGAAAGGTTTTTATACCTCATGGACTCTGCAAATGATGGACCCCAATTTACACTGGCTATTAAGAAGCTCAAAGGCAAATTTGCTGCCTACCTCTCGAAAAGCCAGGAGATCTTACAGATGTGTTACATGATACCTGTCCCCTGCTAAAACCAAACACCTTTATTTATTTTAAGCTACTATTGTTTATCTTTAATAAAATATTTCCAGTCATGTTGGGATAATGCGGGAAATGAATGGGCAACAATAGGGTCTCTAGGAGTAACGGAAAGCTGTTCATAAAATGACAAGCATTTAGAAATTTCACAGTATTTCAAGTTTCACAATAGTCCACACATCTTTACTGTGTTTCATAAAGTACCAACTATGTGTCAGAAGAATCTGTTGCTACAGAAAATGAGTAAGGCAAGTTTCAAGCCTCATGGGACTTAAAATCTACTGGAGGAGACATAGGAAAATCAATACAAAGCACTGCATATTTTAGTAGTACCAGAACGGAAACAAAACAGCACCCAAGAACTTTAACTTTAGGTAGTGCGATAGAAAGACATAGGAAATGATATTTAAGCTAAGAACTGAAAGTAAAAAAAAGAAAGAGGTAGTCACGGTCATGTGCATAGGAGGAGGAAGGGCATACTAGGCAGAGGATACAGTAATAGAAAATACAGAGTAAGGAAATAGCCATGTTGTATTTAAGATACTGAAAGAAGACCAGAGTGGATGGAGGGTTTTAAGGCAGGGCCATCACTAGTTGAAATGAGCACAGGACCGATGGAAGATGTAAACGCCATGGAAAGACATCTGAGGGCTTTGAGCGGGAATCATGAAAATAGTATAGATATGAGGGGGCTTCAAAAAGTTCGTGGAAAAAAAAATAACTAAAAGATACAGGAATTTTTCCATGGACTTTCTGATGCCCCCTTGAGTTATAAGACCAAATTAAATTATGAAATAGAAGAGCCAATACCTAAAAATTAAAATTAAAATCAAACACATAAATCTAACTCTTGTTTCATGCTGGTGGCTTAATCATAGCCAGGAATTATTCCAGTGACTTTAATATAAAATAATTTATCTTAGGGTATAGCCTAAGGGCATAAAGAAAAACGTCTGAAATTTTTAACTTTTCAGTAATCATATTAACATTAATATCAACATTATTACTCACAAATGATGTTTGTATTTTGCTTGTACTTATACGTAAGCAAAATGAATTCTATTCGCATCTTTGCTAAGTGTTAAGTTGGTTTCAACTCAAGGGAGCAGAGAGCCTCATCTTTCTCCCATGGAGAAATCCAGTGCTTACTGTACAGAGTTTGCAATCCTGTGCTCATTGTACAGAACCCCTGTAATCAAGATCCTTGACTAAGAGGAAAAAATGAAAATAAAAGTATGAAGTCAAAGAAGTTCAGTAAAAATAATCTAAAATTGTTATATAAAAATAACAAAATTTGAATTGGACTATATAGGTGTATGGTTCCTAAAAAGGAAAAATGTATTTTCTACTTCTGGTCAGGAAAAAGGCCAGACCAAAGTTCAATGCATACCTTTAGTGCCTAGAGTATCTCTAAATAGAATTTTTGACTCAACCAGGGCTTTTTGGACAAAGGGATCATCAAAGACTACTGGGGCTTTATGAAAAAGGCTCAGAAGCTAACTTAAATAGGCTCCCACTAGCTGAGGATAGGACAATTTGAACATCAAACAGAATAATAACTGGTCTAAGAACAAAGAGCAGGGAGTATTCCAAGTGACTTTAAGACAGAGCAATTTGACTGTTCATACCCTCGGGGCTGGGAGGGGGGAGAGGACAGTCGGACGGACTGTTCTTGGTGCTCATGTGTGTTGATATACTTATTCTTAAACTGTGGGGTGTGTACTGTGAGATAAAGCAAAGGAGCAATGATGTGATATGCTAACATTCCCAGCATTTTTGAGAACTGGGATATTCATCATAGGGGAAAGAGGAGCTATACATGAGACAGAAGAGAAACTTTGAACCTGTTCTTCTTTGTATGGTTATGACTGAGGAAGTGAAACTGGAATGGACCCAAATTTGTAAAATGTGGATATATTGGAATGATAACCAGAAAGGAAAAATTATGGGTTATTTCCCTGCTAGAAACGGAATCTTCCTCTTAGAAATTCAGACAGAGCGGTGCCCCACGGCTCAACGATGGTAGCAGAGTACTCTAAACGATGTGTCTCTCTCCATAGTTCAGAGACTGAGCTAATCGCCACATCTGGATCCTCAGAGAGTTCATTAGGCCTCGTACAAGTCTCCCATTCAGACTTTGAATCCATAGTTTTTCCCGTCTGGTTATTGATGTGGTACATCCACATTTTACAAATTAGGGTTTGTTCTAGTTTCATTCACTACCTTGGCCATGACTCAACCAGTCTGAATCAGTTCAAAGCCTTGATAGAAGAGGTTATGCCAAAATTATGATCCTGCATTTGAAGGTATCAGTATGTGTTCCTGATAAAGTTTTCTTCCAGCATACAAAAGGGGGGTGTCTTCTCCCACGTAAGCTATCACACAATTCACAACATTTAAAAAAAAGCTGGGGGTGGGGGGATGTCTTGCCTCTGACTACTGTATTGCTAAGCACAAAGTCACAGTTCCAATCCACCAGCTATTCCTCTGGAACACTATATAGGGTTGCAATGAGTTGGAACTCATACTACAGTACTTAACAACAAGCCACAACATGACAATGTGAACACTACACCTATTTATATGGCCTTAAAATGCCTTAACAGGTTCAAAGCTTCTCTTCTGTCTCATGTAGGGTCACAAGTTAATGCTCAGAACTGCAAGGTCAGTTTTGAACTGCACGGTCAGTGGTTCAAGCTCACCAGCAGCTCCTCAGAAGCCCTATACAGGGCTGATATGAATCAGAATTGACTCAATGGCACTTAACAGAAAACAACAAAATGCCTTAAAATGCCGTATCAATAGGAATTACGGCATCTTAGAGAATGACTGATTCTTTGCCTGGAATAAGAAATGTACCAGATGAGCCTGGAACATCTGGTGTATCCGAGAGTAAGGAATCTATGCAAGATTTTTATGTGTACAAACAAAAGTCTCAATGGCCAATCTTTAAGTTGCTGTTGGCCAAAGCTGAGACAACGTATCAGTAAGTATACCTGCAACCAAGTAAAACACATCAAATAAGAATAAACCCCAAATCAAAGAAAACCACCTCATCAATCACCTGTCACCTTTGGAGGCTCTTATGGAACAAAACCATAAGTCTAAAAACTCACCCTTCCTTTTCTATATGCATTGTACCTCAATGTAATTATTGATAAAGAAAAGTTCTTTTTAGAAGAACCCTAAGTTTTTAAATACATAAGAAATGACAAACTTTGAACATTACTACTTTATAATCCCTAAAAAAGGTCAATGAAGTTTGCGAACATTAGGTGAAAATCTACTGGGGAATTTTACAGATTAGGCTAAGAACATCTGAGTCCACTGACTGACCTATTACAAAAAGACGTGCTGAGCCCTAAGACTGTCTCAGCTGCTGGCTAGCAAGTGTCCTGGTGTAGCACAGGGAAGGGGACTCCAGGGAAAGGCAACCAGACTCTGAGCTAATGATACAGCTGAGAACTGAGGGAGACCAAGGTAGCTGAAGTTTGCAGGACAGAATGCCAGAAAGAGACAGCAACACAGAGGAAGGACTTTGGAGACCTGCACAGGGCCTCCTTCCAGTCCTTAGTAACTACCCAAGGTCACACAAAGAACCATTAGCAAGGGCTAGAGGGAACCTATTCACAGCCAGAATAGAAAATGTCACAGTAGTTGGGAATAACTGGGCTGCTGGTCCTACCTACACATTTTACCAAGTAACTTAACTGCATTCCAGGGCAAAGATCACAATACCTAGTATCCAATAAAACATTACCAGGATTGCAAATAAGCAGGGAAATGACTCATGAGGAGGAGAAAGCCCAGTCAATTAAAACTGACCCAGAATTGACACAGCTGTTGGAACTGGCAGATGGTGACACCAGAACCAAACAAAAGGACTGTCACTACCTGCTTTCAGGGTTCCTTCCCAAACCACCACATAGGAAGACCTGACGGTGTCAAGAGAGGGATTACAGTGGGGGCGGGAGGAACTTCTGGCAGAGACTGGTATGTTCATGATCTTGGTGACAGTGGGGTTCATAGGTGAGTCTACATGAAAACTTATCCAGTTGTATACTTCAATTACATACAATTTACTGTATGTCAATTACTCTCCAGTTTAGTTAGGAAGAAAAATTTAGGAGATACCAAGTAAATGCCTGGTGTGGAGCTGTGGGCTAATATGCCAGACTGCAAAGCTGTTTGAAACTGCACGGTTGGTGGTTCAAGCTCACCAGCTGCTCCTTGGAAAACCCATACAAGGTCGCTGTGGGTCAAACCGACTCAATGGCACTTAACAACAACATGAAGAAGTAAACCCTGGATGCTGTTCTTGTTTCAGTCCCAATTTGGAAAGATCAATTTAAAAAGGAGAACTCTTGGGGAAGTGAAAATATAAAACATATATTTGGTATTAAAAAACACTTATTAATTTTAGATGCTAATGATGCTCAAGCGTAACAATTGTGAGAGAGGTGCAGGACCAGGCAGTGTTTTGTTCTGTTGTACATAGGGTCGCTATGAGCTGAAATTGATTCAATGGTACCTAACAACACCAACAACAACAACGATGCGGTGGGGAACATGGTGGGGAGCGCAGTGGCTCCCGAGGATGAGCGCTGGACTGTGAACCACAAGGTTGGTGGTTTGAGTCCACCAGCTGATCCATGGGAAAAAAATTATGTTTTCTGCTCCTGCCAAGATATGCAGCCTTGAAAACATTACGCAGGGTTGCTATGAATTGGAACTGAAAAATTCCTTATTCTTTAAGGATAAGTACTAAAGCATTTGCAGACGTTATGATGTAGAGGATTTGCTTCATAATAATTCCAAATGAGGGGAGAAATAAGTGAAGGCCTAAGCAATGAAGAATAGTTACATTAATGAAGCTATGCGATGGGCACATGGGGTTGATATTTTCCCCCCTCTTTTGTATATAATAAAAAACTTTCAGAGAATAAATAGAGGAGAAAATATGCCATAGAAACTAAGAATATCTAACTTTGCTGTTGTTCTTTAGTCGTCGGTACGACTCCGTTCTGACACACAGCAACCCTGCATAGGGTTTCCGAGAGGTCTGAACTGCTGACCTTGTGGTACATAGTCCAGGGCTTATCCTACAGCACCACACCAGGACTCGGCCAGTAGTTCTAACTCATAGCGACTCTATATGTGGTTCCCAAGACTGTAAATCTTTACAAGAGCAGAAAGCCTCATCTTTCTGCCTCGATGCGGATAGTAGATTCCCGCATCTTTGTTAGCAGGGCAGCTCATAACACTAAGCTGCTATCCACCAGGTTTCATTTATAAAGAAGAAGAAAACTTTGCTTTAACATAAAGTGTACCTTGAAAGCAATACTGTTCCAAATCTTAACTATATCCACTGAATGAATTTTTACTCTACAAGGGCGAGTCAAAAATTATCCACACCCCGGCTGTAAAATTTATGTTAATCAGCTTTTAGAAAAAACAAATACATCAGTTTTCAACATTATCTTCTTGCTTTTCAATACACTCTATCCACCTGTCAACAAGTTCTCGAATCCCCTTATTAAAAAATGTTTTAGGATGAGTGTGAATCAAAAATACGCCGCTGTCTTCACTTCTTCATCAGAGGTGAATCTTCGTCCTTGAAGGGCTGCTTTCAGAGAACCAAACAAGTGAAAGTCTGATGGAGCAAGTCAGGATGATAGGGAGGATGCTTTAACATCTCAAAATGAACTTTCTGCAAAGTGTCAACAGTGTGGGCAGAGGTATGCCGATGGATGTGCATTGCCAGGCAACATCACGGTGCTTTTGCATAGCAGTTTTCTGCATTTAATCTGAAGTTGAGGCTTAAAGCTCTTCAGTGAACATCTCACTGTAATGAGTATTGTTGACTGCTGAACCCTTTTCCTGATAGTGTATCTAATACTGGCTCTTGAGAATCCCAGAAAACTGTAACTTTTTTTTTTTTTTAAAGAAACTTTTACCTTCCTTTGAATATTGGTCCAAATTTTGTTTGCAGATGTCCAAACACTTCTGTGTATGCTTTTCTGTGAGTTGTTTCGGGACCCATCTTGCACAAACTTTTCGAAACCCAAGTCTATCGTGGATTCTTTCATAGGCAAAGCCATGGTTGATTTGCTAATGACTTGCCATGTAACCCACTGTCACTCATCTACACGACAAAGAATCATTTCACGTGAACACTCTATGTTGCCATTAAGTCGTGGATGTGGACAGGCATTTTAATATAACCAGAGTGTGGACAATTTTTGACTCACCCTCATTTAAGAATTTACATAATACATTTATTTTGTAAGCAGAATTAGCATTAAATATGCTCAAAGGATAAAGAAAAGTTAAAAACAAAACAAAACTCAAGTGCGTTTTACCGTCAAAAGCTTGGTAGTGATTCCCGCATCCACCACTGCCTTATGCATGGCACGCAGTGTTTCCAGTTCTGGGGCAGCAATGAACACGACGTAAGGCATGAACTCTGCCGTCCTCAATACCTTCAGGGCCTGTGAGAGGTTATGAACCAATTATATAGCATCAGGCTTTCAATCATGTTAATACTTTCATGTAAATCATTGCTTGTCTGCTCTCTTCCTTTGCTGTTGTTGTTAAGTGCCGTCGAGTTAGTACTGACCTATAGTGACCCTGTATAGGCTTCCCAAGGAGTGACTGGTATGCTTGAACCGCTGACCTTGCAGATCAAACCAACTTTGCAGTGCAGCGCATTAACTCACAGTGCCACACAGTATGTTTTAATACCTGACCCACTCCCACTTTGCCCTTTTGATCCCACGTGGTCCTTTCCTAAAATAGTTACTCTTTTTTTTTGCTCTGAACCTAGTTTCTGTAATCTTTGATACACCTGAACAAAAGACGGTATAAAACTCAATAATCTAAAAATCAAGAGTGATGCTGATCTGTTTGTTCTCTGTAGCATCCTACTGTTGAAAATGCAGCAGCCACATAAATGGCACTAATTTGGGAAATTAAGTGGTTAAATATATTAATATACGTCCACATTATGAAATGGAGTCCTGACATGGCGTTGTAGGACAGGAGCGTTAACTGCAAGGTCGGTGGTTCAAACCCACTTCGGAAACCCTACGCAGCAACGCTATATGTTGGGATTGACTTGACAGCACTTAACAACAACACTACAAAATATATTAATTACAAAGTATCAAACAGATGTATAGTCACTGAAAAGATCATCAACTATTGCTTAGTGAAAACAATGAAATAATCAGCACATACATTTCCCATACATGAAAAGTAGAAAACTCAGAGCATTATCTGTGTGTCTGTACTTCAGGTGTAGCAAAGGATCCCTGATGACACAATGGACAACATGCTCTGCTGCCACCCGAAAAGTGGACGGTTTGAACCCATCAGCTGTTTCACGAGAGAAAAGACCTGGTGAGCTGCTCCTGTCAGATTGTTGTTGTTGTTAGGTGCCATCAAGTCGGTACCGACTCATAGCAACCTTATGCAAAACAGAACGAAACAGTACTGTTGCCACGCTTGAGCCCATCGATGCTGCCACTTGGCCAATTCATGTCGTTGGGGGTCTTCCTCTTTTTCTCTGACCCTCCACTTTAACCAAACATGATATCCTTCTCCAGCTACTGGTCCCTCCTGACAATATGTCTGAAGTATGAGAGATGAAGTTTGGCCATCTTGACCTCCAGGGAGCACTGTGGCTGAGCTTATTCCAAAATGGATCTATGGGTTCTTTTGGCAGCCCATGGCACTTTCAATATTCTCTCCTCCAACACCATAACTCAAATGCGTCAATTCCTCTACAGTCTTCCCTATTCACTGTCCAGCTTTTGCATCCATATGAGGTTATTGAAAATAGCATGGCTTGGGTTAGGCGCACCTTAGTCCTTAAGCTGACATCCTTAGAAACCCTATGGGGAAGCTCAACTCTGTCAGACAAGGTCACTAGGTCAGACTTTCCTCAATGGCAAACAAGCAGTAACAAGGCAGAACAAAATCACTAGACAGAAACATGCCTTTTAATATTGATTTTGGAGTGGAAGTCAGGTACAGCTGTGTAGAATTGAGGTGGATGAGAGAGACGAATATGAGAATGAGTGTGTGTATGTGTGCATATTTGTGCATGTGTGTGCTTGAGAGAGAGAATCAGGTAAGCACAACTTCTATTATTGAATCCTTTTACAACAACCTTAAAGGAGCTCTGGTAGCGTAGTGATTACGAATTGGGCTGCGAACCTCAGGCACAGCAGTTTGAAACTACCAGCTGTTCGCAGGAGAAAGATGAGGCTTTCTGCTCCCGTAAAGATTTACAGCCTCGGAAACCCTCCTATGAGTCGGAACCAACTCCACGGCACATAGCAACAACATAACAGCCTTGTCTGACTTTTAAAGTAGCGTAGTGGTTTTGAGTTGGGTTGCTAACCTCAAGGTCAGCAGTTTGAAACTACCAGCTGTTCCGGAGGAGAAAGATGAGGCTTTCTGCTCCCGTAAAGATTTACAGGTGTCACTATGGGTTGGAATTGACTCCATAGCACATAATCACCACCATCACCAACATATACTTGTACATGTATTACTTGAGCAAGTACATAATTAATAAACTTCTATTAAAGACCTAGCCACCTGGTTTCTACTGCTATTCAATGTCTGTTGATTAGTTGGCTAGATATTTATGTAACTAATTGGGAAATATAATACAGTTCTTTATCATGTAATATAGGAAAATACTCACGAGTACCCTTCACAATTCTGGAAAAAACAAAGAACAGAAAATAAAAGTGCAAACAAAAAAAACAATAAACAAATACCAACCCCAAACACAGAAAGCAGTGTAATCACTTCAGCTTACTTGTGGGTTGACATCCAAGATACAAGTTCTTCCAGTCTGGACAACCTCCAGAATAGAATCAATCTTGGTTCCATAGAGATTGCCTTCATATTCCCCATGCTCCAAGTATTTTCCAGCTTTAATATCTGCTTCCATCTCAGATCGTGACACAAATTGATATGCCTGGCCATCTTTTTCATCTTCCCTTGGTTTCCGTGAAGTAACTACATAAAATGATGTTGAGAATTTGTACAATGAGGTTATATGGTAAAAAAAATAAGACTAAATTAACCTAGTGCAGAGCTTGGTGAATTAAAGGCCATGGAACAGAAGCACGCTTATTCATTCATGCTTTTCTGTGGTTACTTTTCGAGTCCTGGTGTGGTGCTGTGGGTTAATGTGCTGGGCTACCAAGTGGTTTTGAACTGAAAGGCTGGCAGTTCAAGCTCACAAACCGCCTCTTGGAAACCTTATACAGGGTCGCTATGGGTTGGAACTGACTTCATGGCACTGTAACAACAGCAATGGTTACTTTCAAAATACAAAGGCAGAGTAATTATGAGAGGCAGTGCAGACTACAAAGTCTGAAATATTTACTATGTAGCCCTAACCCAGAAAACGTTTGCTGACTGATTATGAGGCATGTTTTAAACAGGTATTTGGCAACATATGATGTGCACCAAAAAAGCGCTTTTTAAAGTTTGAAGCTCAAAAGTACTTACAAGCATGGCCCTAAAACGAAATGCTTAATTATGTTGAGTCTTAACAAGCACGAGGAATACATGGCAAATGAATATTTTTGCAAACTGACTCTCCCTCTATTTTTTTTTAAACAAATAGAAATTTATTCTCTCAGTTTAGGAGGACCTTCCTTTTCTTACAGAATCTATCAGATCCAATTTCCCCCCACATTTACATTTCCTTAATGAATGCTCAATAAGGGAAGTTCTTCTAATTCTTAATTGCTACTATCACTTTTCTGAAATTAGCTTTACTCACAAGTAATCAATTCATCTGTTCTTAAAATCAAACCTTTGTTTTCTGCTTATCGATTGTTTCAAATATTCACTGTTCTATTTTATACTTCAGTGCAGAGCTCTCCACCTCAGTGTTATTGTTGTTGTGAAGTGCTGTCGAGTTGGTTCTGACCCATAGTGACCCTGTATGACTACCTGTAATAAGTACATGCATAGGGTTTCTGAAGAGCAGCTGGTGAGCTTGAACTACCGACTTTGCAATTCAGATGGCTTTGCAGTCTGGTGCAGTAATCCACAGCGCCACACTGGGGGGCTCCCTCAGCGTTATTAGGGTCTATCAATTTCCTCTACTCTAACTTATAACATGTGGCACTTAACAAGATAGATACAAACTAGGTACACTGTAAAAAAAAATTTTTTTTTTCCCCAACTCATAGAGACCATGTGGATTAAGAGAAGCAGCTGGTATGTTTGAATCGCTGACCTTGCAGTTCAGTGCTTATCCTACAGTAGTACCATACCAGGGCTAAAAAATACCCCAAACCAAATCCACTGTACTTAAGTCGGTTCTGACTCATAGTGACCTGACACGACAGAGTAGAACCACCTTATTGGGTGTCCAAGACTGTAATCTTTACGAGAGCTTATTGCCACATCTTTCTCCCATGGAGTAAATGGTGGGTTCAAGCCACTGAACTTTTGGTTGTCAGTCAAGCACTTTAACCACTGTGCCACCAGGGCTCCTTACATGCAGATTACGTATGCATAATACAGATATTCAAACTATTACTGTTGCTGTTCAATACCATCGAATCAGTTCTGACTCACAGTGACCCTGTATAATGTTTGCAAGGAGCAGCAGGTGGGTTTGAACTGTTAACCTTGTGGTTCACAGTCCAGTGCTGATTCTACAGTGCCACACCAGAAGCCCAAACCAAATAAAATCAGTAATTGGGATAAACAATAACTGACATTATGACTATCTGTAATAAGTATATAGGCATCAAGCAAACTTCCATGATGATAAAATGAACTTTTAACCCAAGCTCAATCATATGGGGTATAGCTCATAAATGAGTCAATACAGACAACAGAATTCCCCTTTTTCATTATTCTCTGACCTTGATGGTGGATTTCTAGGATGCACTGTGGACAGTATCAAGTAGCTTCAAGAACCTTCAAGATGCTACAATGGCTTTTTATAACCAAAACTACGTTGTTGGTAAGGTTTCTGGAATTATTCACAAAAGGTGGCACAATAAAACTCTGTAGGGCAATTCTGAACTCTCAAGATAAATACATCACTGGGACCCACTCAATACTTGGGAACATAATTTTAGAAGAATACGTTTTTTTTTTGTTTTTTTGTCGGTGAAACCATGTGTGTGAATGTGCTGCTTGAAAGAAACATGTATATATCATACACATTATTTCCATTTCTACCTCCCAACATGTTGAGGGAATCTTAGAGAAATATTGTTCAGTTTACAAGAGGATTTAAACTACAATACCTTTCTCTGTAGAATACTTAAAAAAACAACAACTCGATTGCCACATATTTGACCCCTTTATATTCCTGGAACAGGTTGACGGGATCTTAGAATTTGATTTCTGTGACTGATAGACAAAATTCTACATTGTAACAGCTCTTAACTAAGGTCAAGAAGCCAATGTTAAAGAGAAAGCATGAGTCATAAAACAATTTATGCCCCTGGAATCACAATTATTTTCTTTTAGAATCATCTTATAAAGCAATTAGGTCAATGTATAACGTTGATAAAGTGCTATTGGGTCAGTTCTTATCTTAGCAACACTGTATAGAGTTTCTGATGAGCAACTGGTGGGTTTGAACCACCGACCTTGCGGTTAGCAGCCCAGCACTCATCCTACAGCCACACCAGGACTCCTTTAATACAATACATCAGCATTTATTTCCTTCCCCTTATCTACTTTCCCAGCTACATGTTTCTGTTGTTGTAAGCCTCAAACTCTGATTCATGTGACCCTGTATGACAGACGAGACCTGCTTCATGAGTTTTTTTCTGGGCTATAATCATTATGTAATCATTATGAGTAAATTGCCACATTCTTTCTTCCATACAGCAGATAGTGGATTTGAACTAGTGACCATTTGGTTATTAGATGAGCACTCAACAACTGTGCCACCAGGGCTACTTAACCACTTAATAATGTGCAGAACAATGTTTTGTATCAGAAATATGGTAAACCTGGCACACTACAATCAGGGTTTCTTTTCTCTGTTGATTTTGGAGCTTAAAAAAAAACGTTGGATGTTACGTAAGTGTGAATGGTTTCAAGGAAAGTCAAACACCTACACTGTATGAGGTGAGAGTTGACTTGAAGCATGAGCATATCTAAATCTTTCCATAAAAAAATTCAGATTATGAATCTTTATTCAAAGTAAAAGGCTTGCACGAAGACAAATTTTAGTACAATGGATATTAATTTGGGACTAGGAAATCAAGAAATTGGAGCACTTATATATACACCATTTAATCTGATAATTCTATATAAGGTTTTTATATACATATTTCATCATGGCACTACTACAGCACAAATAATTTCCCCACTGCCCAAAACATACACACACACACACACACGTGGGCAACAGCAACAATGGTTCATGTTGGTGTTAAGTGCCATCAAATTGGTTCCAATTCATAGCAACCCTGTATAGGGTTTCCAAAGAGCAGCTGGTGAGTTTGAACCGCCAACCTTGTGGTTTACAGTCCAGTGCTGCTCTTACAGTATCATACCAGGAGTCCAACATACACATAAAACCAAAACGCAGCACACATACACATAAAACCAAAACGCAGCACACGTCCACATAAAACCAAAATGTAGCTTACATACACATAAAACCAAAACGCAGCACATGTACACATAAAACCAAAACACAGCACACATACACATAAAACCAAACTGCAGCACACGTACACATAAAACCAAGTTTGCCACAGAGCTGATGACTTGTGAATAATGCTCATGATACAATGTTCATTCTCTCATTAAATTATATATAATGTATATGACAGACTACATTCTAGAAGCTGAATTTACTGAATGCAAAAGACAGACAAACTCTTTATTCTCCGGGAGCATATTATTGCACACAGAGGTAGCTGAGTAACTAAGTAACAAATGAGAATTGACAGGAAGGGCTGAAACATAGCCACAAGGTGCTGGGGAGGCTACTTTAAGTTGAATGATTAGTAAAGGCCTCTTAGAAGTTGTGGCCTCAATGAAAAGTAAAATCCAAGTATGTGAAGATGGGTTTGGGGGCATAGGGGTGAGTGGTGAGGAAGCAGAATGTTCTAGGCAGATGGAACAACAAGAACAAAAAGGCTTAAACAATGAATGGAGCACATGACTCTCTAGACTGAAGAGCCCACTGATCTTCACCATAACAAATAAAAACTCATGCACAGCAAGGCACATCACCACTACATTTCACAATACTTCACAAACCAAGGCCCGGATGTTTCTGAAATTTCAAAAAATCAGGTGATGAAGAGTAACAATTAGAATGGCAATGGACTTCTCAATATGTTAAATCAAGGATAACATTTTCAGAGCTTTACAAATTTAAAATGCTATTCTCAGCTACACAATCAAATACAGGGCAGAAAAAAAATAAGCCTTCAAATACAAAGCAGCAGAAATTACGACCTATACATCCTTTCTTGCTACAAAACGTTGCAAGAGGATGTTCCCCAGCAAAACAAAGTAGTAAAAATGAGGAAAGATATCAGAGGCAGAACAACAGCTTCAGTCCAGGAAAGCAACAAGAGAAATACTCCACTGTTAACAGCTGGGCGGGTCTCATAGGTCACATGCGGTCCCTACTGAGCAGAAGACAGGGTTCTGAGACAGATGTCTTCAAGAAAATAAAATCACAACTTATACTGGATAGAGTGGTTTAGCGTACACATACACACACGCACGCACATAAAATCCTATATAAAACCCAAGTAAAAAGAGGAAGGGAAGGAAAAACAACAACTCATTGATTTCTAGGGGTGGGAAGGCAGAAGCTGTTTAAGAAAATAAAATGGTATTAACTAAAAATAGTTTTCATGATCTTGGGAGGGTGGTTAGGAAGTCAATATATAAAGCATTAACTGAATAAAAAGCAGAATGAAGACATTATTGATAAATATGGGAGACCACTAAAACAAATAGCTAAAAAAAAAAGAAAGAAAAATGGCTGTCTCTGGTAATTGGGCCAAAGGTTGAGTAAGGGAAGACAAAACATCAGTTCTTTTTATTATATGTGAAGTACAACTTGATTTAAAAAACTGTGCAAGTATTTAATTCCATAAAAATGAAAACTTTTTCCTCATTGCATAACTATATAGTTTTATCACAGTGAGGTTTTTAATCTGTTAACTACTTAATTAAGATTTGTATGAATTTAGTGCCTTTAATCCAAAGCCTTACCCTGACAAAGTGTAAGTAGTATGTGGATGCAACAAGGTTAATTCTCCAACCCCTAAGAATTTTAGCAATAACATTGCTCACAGAATTAAATGCAGAGACACTGTAAGATCTGTCTTCAAGAAATGGAATGACCTCAGGCTGAGATCTGACTTACAACAGCCTAAAGCAATCAATACAGCTAAAGAAATAATGTGTTCATTAAAAGGGGGCCGCCCTGGTCAGCAATCGTCATTGTTGCTGTTAAGTGACATCGAGTCAATTTCAACTCATAGTGACCCAACTCATAGGTATAGGGTTTCTAAGATCAGCTGGTGGGTTTCAACTGCTGACCTTCATAGTTAACTGTCCAGGATCATACCAAGCCAGCAATTTGTTATTATTTAGCGCTATTGAATTGATTCTGACTCATAGTGACCCTGAATAAATTTCTGAGGCCTTAAATCTTCTCGGGAGCAGAAAGCTTCATCTTTCTCCTACGGACCAGCTGGCAGCTCGAACCACAGACCTTATGGTTTGCAGCGCAGTGCTTATTGTATGGAGTCACCACGCTCCTAGGTCAGTAATTGTGGCTATTAAGTGCTATTCAGTTCTGGCTCATAGCGACCCTGTACAGGGTTTCTGAGGAGTGGCTAGCGAGTTTGAACCACTGACCTTGTGTTTCAAACCAACCTTGTGTGTCAGTGCTTATCCTACAGCACCAGCTATAGAATCACAGAAAAGGAGGAGGTTATTGATGACGGCGCAGTGGGTTAATGTGCTGGACGGCAAGGTCAGTTTGAACCTCAAGGCTGGTGGCAGGTCAAGCTCACTCCTGGGAAACCCTATAAAGGGTGGCTAGGGTCAGAACGGACTCAACAGTACTTAACAACAACAATTGAGGCAACGTTAAGTTTGTTGCTTGCATTGCCCAGGCAAAGTAATGTCCACAGATTGAGGCACATAAGTCTACAAAATAAAGACAAATGTGATCAGTCCTTATATGAGACAGTGATGTCATGTAATTCTTTGTTCTAATTCCATCCTCATAAGGCACACTTCTATTATTAACTGACTTTTCATGTAAACATGCAACTAGGGAAAGAATGCAAAGATCACAAAATGTGTGTCTAGTTCACTTAGTAGTTAAACCTCTCATCACTAGTCTGTGTATGATCCATACGTTTATTTTATACATCCATCTTTGCGACCTTAATTGATGCTGCTTGCTCTGGAAGACTGGATGCTTTTGATGTTCTATCAAAAAGCAAGTTTATGTTCTTACAGGATTGAGAGCTGCATGCTGGACCACCTACATTCACAAAGACTACCACACAGAGACTGCTTGAGGAGCCAGCAAGCTTTCCTCTCTGTGACAACAGGTGAAGAGTCCCTGGGCGATGTAAAGGGTAAAATGCAACATTCCATGCAAATGTTAATTGTACAAGAAAACACGAAATTTATGCTGATTCTGCCACAACTCGTAAACACTTGCATTTAAATCTAAAATTTCTGGACTAAATAGTGTGAAGAAGCAAATGCCACCAGTTAACACACCAACAGTGCTGTATCAAGACAGCTATAGAATTACTGAGTTCTGAAAATATCTTCTATTTTTTTTCATTTTCACTGGCATAATAAGAAATTGATATTAAGTAATAATAAGATTTCCTTTTCCCCATGTACCCATACCTTTCCCAGACAAACAGTAAAGAAAGCACAGAATACTTACATGGCACTGTAGTTCCAAATTTAGTGGGATTCAATACTATGAACCTGTTTTTCAAGCTTCTTCGGCCCACACCTTGGGCTCCTATTAATACTAATGTCTTCCTCTGGAAGGGGGGCATTTTGGCTACCTCTTCATATATTTGGATTTCATGGCGATCAAATTCTAAATATAAAAGGAAAGTAGAAGCCATATTCAGTTCCTTTATATGCAAGACACTCCCCTGATATTCTGTTGACGTATGGCCCAGTGGTTTTGATAGTTAATTATCACCTAAATTGGTCCACTCAGTGCAGATTTGCTTTTACAAATTTGGAAGTGTACAAAAATTATTTTACATCTTGGTTTGAATACCTGTTTTCAGCCAGTTGCCCTTAAAATTTTGTTTTTCTAACTAGAAATATGCCTGTGCTTTATCCATCCTTGTTGGATACTCAACTCATTAAAACCTCTTTATTATAGACATAATCAAATGACAAATTAATTTATAGCATTTAAGCTAACAAGTATATGCACTGTGACTGCTTCCATAGGAATGGAATGTGTTTCTTTTCTCAATGATCTGAACAAACACATGTGTGGGTGACGTTTTAAAAATCAGTTTGCTTATTAATAAAATGCATACAGACCCATGTTACTGGTATTGGGTGGCCTCAAGTCAATTTTAACTCATAGGGAGCCCATACGACAGAGTAAAATAGCTCCATGGGGGTTTCCTAGGCTGTAATCTTTACAAGAAGCCCTGGTGTCGCACTGTAGGATAAGCACTGGACTGCTAATCTTAAGGATGGTGGTTCAAACCCACCAGTCGCTTCTTGGAAACCCTTTCAGGGTTGCTATAAGTCGGAACTGACTTGACAGCACATACATCAATCTTTACCAAAGTGCTTAGACAATAAACTAGACATTTAGAGTTTATGCTCTATTTAACACTACAAAGCCATTCCACTTGGACTTCTCAGACGCTATTTAAACCGCCTGTGACCTGTTGTGTGCACCAACATTTTCAGCCTCTCAGGGCTTTTAGGGAAGCTGCCTTCCCAGTTGTAGTATCTCCAGGCTTTTCTCTCACAGAGTAACTTAACCCACCCAGCTTTCAGTTAGAAGCCAAGCACCTAATCTTTGTGCCACCAGGAGTTCTTATAGACAACATACTGATATTTAAGTATGAAGAATTAAAACATCTTGCATAAAAAGGAATTCTGGTTTCCAAGCTGTTTTTAGAAGAAACACGTTCCAGAAATCATAATCTTAGTCAATGGGAAAATGACAAATTTTCTATTTTGCAAGAATGTTTTAAGGGTTTGTCTTTGACGGATAATAAGGCCAAAGCAGATTTTGCACATTACATTACCTATTATTGCTAAAACTCTCAGTCTGTAGTAATAACGTTTCTTCCTTAGGTTAGCATCTTAACAGCAACTCCCTCTTTGCACAAATTCTCCACAGTACATTAAGTGAACAGTAAGAGAGAAAGGAGTCGATTTCCCCTTCTATATTATTTCCTTTATGGTGTACAATTTAGCTGATCACCAGCATAGGTAGCTCTGAAGTTAAGTACTTTAAAAACTGTCAACTCCTTTGATTAAGCCTCCAAAGGCTTCTCAGAGTCTTCTTGATCCAAAAAGCTGCATTTCATTCCTGTCAGTCTCTACAACTGAGAAGAATAAAGATGGTAGTTTCCATATTTTGCTTTTTTTGAAGATCTAAGGATTGAGAAAGAATCCTACTAGATCAGACCAAGATCCACTTAATTCAGTGCCTTCCCCCCCCCAAAAGTAGCATGGACAAAGTACGGCAGAATATAATGTCCTTACTTTTAATATCTTCATAAAGGTATGTCTGCCCATTACAAACTGCACATGAATTACTATTTCAAAGTTGTATTGTACAAACTGTTTCGACTATAGTATCTTTCCATTAATTCAAGGATAAATCTTTGTAAACTGCACTTGTGAAATAAAGCACACCGGCAGTATTACAAGTGTGTGTCACATTGAGATGGAGCAACTGTAATTTGTGTAATTTGTGTTGACATGCCAGCTCCTTACAATGGGGTAATAATACGAATTACATTCATTTTAAATTAAGACATTTAGAGAGCATATTCCATAGTGACACTAAAAAAACTATTCAACTTGGACTTCTCAGAAGCTATTTAACCTTTCTGTGACCCATGGGACATTTCATCCACCAACATTTTCAGCCTTCCAGGTTTTTTGGGGAAGCTGCTCTCCTACGTTATAGAACATGCTACCGCCTGGCAGGGACCTGTAAAACTTTACGAATCTGAAGGAATGGCCTTGCCCCACCCAAACCAACCGTCATGAGTTTAGTTGGGGCATGTGTTTCACACACATGTATTAAAATCCGTATTACTTAAAACAAAAGACAAAACAGAACCAAAACATATTTCCCGTTACTGAAACCACATGGCACCAACAAAAAATTCAAAGAAAACATGGAAGAGTTAAAACCTACCTGCATTTCTAGTTGTGAGGTACATCATTTTTTTCTTTTTTTTGCTACTTATAGTTCCACAGAAAGGTCCTGAGAATGACAAGATAAATGTAACTAAAGCAAGATGGCAGATCTCCCCAAGTCATCCTATGGTTTTATATAGGGATCACAGAATTATCTTCCTACTGTTGCATCCTATGAAGCAGACGGGAATAGGGGTGAGATGACCCCTGAATTTTGACACTATATATCAACAGGTGACAGATAGGGACCAAAGCGTTTACTTCTGAAAGGCAAAATAAAGCAGATGGGGACTGGACTCTTAATTCTAAATATATTTTAGGTAAACACATTTGCTTTATTTAGATGAAAAGAGCAAAGAAAGGTGACCAAAAAGGATTAATACCACTGCTGCTGAGTTGAGTCCAACTCATGGCGACTTACAGGGCAGACTAGAACTACCCCACAAGGTTCCCAGGGCGGTCATCTTCATAGGAGTAGACTGCCACATCTTTCTCCCTTGGAACAGCTGGTGGATTTGAACTGCTGACCTTTCCGTTAGCAGCCAGTTGCTTAGCCACTGTGCCACCAGAGCTCCTTTCGTAAAGGACTACTTGTTATTTATTGTGTCAAGCTCATCACCTGAATTGTCCCAGTCTCTTCTAACAAATGCCTTTCTCTTCTCTTCCAGGAACTGGCTTGGAATGAGACCAGCGCTTCCTCCCTCTTTTATATGGCTAGCCTAGAATCAAATTAATGAATTGTATATCTCAGTGACCAAAACTTGAGACCATTAAGTATTTTAATAAGTAGGACAAGCAGTAGTCAGTAAAATAAATCATATTGGTTCTTAAAAACGGACCTTCTGAGATTTAAACCCAATGGCAATGCCAGTTACAATAGTTTAAAAAACACTTCAGCACTGTGGAATTAACTGGCACCTAATATTTTTAGCATCTGTTATCTGGTAGTGAAATTTTTGAACCAAAATTCAATTCTGTATAAACTCTTTAAATTAGTAAAACATTTTATTTATAATATTAAGCTAGTCAAATAATACAAAGTAGTATACGAAATAAATAAATGCTATTCTATAACATGGGTTAAGACATTTAACCTAGTACTACTAATTATTTTCAATAACCTCATATGCATGCAAAAGTTGGACAGTGAATAAGGAAGATCGCAGAATTGATGCATTTGAGTTATGGTGTTGGAGGAGAATACTGAAAGTGCCATGGGCTGCCAAAAGAACCAACAGATCTGTGTTAGAAGAAGTGCAGCCAGAGTGCTCCTTGGAGGCCAGGATGACCAGACTTCGTTTCTTACTTAAGACATATTGTCAGGAGGGACCAATCACTGGAGAAGGATATCATGTTTGGTAAAGTGGAGGGTTGGAGAAAGAGAGGAAGACCCCCAATGACATGGACTGGCACAGTGACGGCAGCAGTGGGCTCAGGTGTAGCAATGATTGTTGAGGTTGGTACAGCACCAGGCAGTGTTTCGTTCTATTGTGCACAGGGTCACTCTAAGCTGGTACCAACTTGATGGCACCTACTACTAATACTACTACTGTTGTTAAGTGCCGTCAAGTTGATTCTGACTCACAGCGACCCTGTATAGGGTTTCCAAGGAGTAGCTGGTGAGCTTGAACCACTGACCTTGCAGTTCAAAACAACTCTGCAGTCTGACTCATTAGCCTACAGCGCCACACCAGGACTCCTAATACTACTTGTACTGTTTCATAATATAATGACTAACTTAATCTTACTGGCATCATATTTACAATTAAAATAGTGAAAAATAGTCATAGAATGTAGATTTTTAAGATAAGGGGTTAGGGGAAATCTTTGATATCATGGATTCTGTTTAATTTACCCATTTCTTAGTTCGCTTATCACACAGTACATGGTACAGAAGAAGGCTCTAATTAAAATGTAAAGACCCATTAATAAGACTGCCCTCTATGATCCACTCTCTCCTTAGAATTCAGTATAATGTATTGAGCTAATGTGAATTACCAGTAGCTCAGTTACATTTAGAGTTTAGTGGGTCCTGGGTCCTTTCTTATTACTATGATAGTTTAAATGATTTCAGACTTTCCGATTTGTCAGTTTGGTTAGCTGACATAAACAAGTGGAAAAATAGAATTCCTACTGTTGCTGGAGCTTCCTGTAAGTTATATCAGGGAAAGGAAAGAGAACATCAACACAGAGCTGGAAAGCCCAGAGACGGAAAAGTGGTAACACAAGCCCCCTTCTGTAGACAGAGATTTTAATCCAAAAACAAACTAAGCTGATGAGTAAAGTTTCATTTCTCAGTAACTGAGAAGAGGTAGGCAAACATACTTAAGAGCTAAGAAATCATGTGTTGCTTGCCATGAACATACATACACAGAGGGAGAGAGGTAAGACTCCAATACTCATACTAAGCACTTCTATTTTAAACTAAAGCCAAACCAAAAAGTATAATTACCCCACATGAGTTATTCTGCCCCATAGCATATATTTCTTGTGATCAAGAAACCAATTATTATGAAGAACCAATTGATCTGATTCCTAAACTGAACCAATTGATCTGATTCCTAAACTTTTGGTAGTACCAAAAGCCTGTGAATTACACATTTATAAGCAGCTACTCACAAAGTCCCTTTCCACAAAGTCCACAAAATTAGTAGCCATGAAGCAGGAGCTCTTCATGTGGGAAAAACCATTGGAACAAATGCAAACACCTTCATCCTGAACACTCACATACTGGCTAGATCAAAGATTAAAAACAGAAAAGCAGTTGAGATAATGTTAAGAAGTATACTAACCTGCCACCAGTTTGGGTCTTCTCTGTTTACAATCTGAAGAATTTCTCCTTTTGAAAACTTTAATCCAGCTTCTTTGCAGGGTATCAGGTTATCGTTGTATGGATTATAATCAAAATGACATTTCACAAATACCTAAAATACACAGCACAATTAAGAATACTATAGATGTATCTTTTACTATGGGGTTTTTTTGGGAAAAAAAAATTTTTTTTAACCAATGTGATTTAATTGTTTTGACATGTTTTAGGAATTAAAACTAAGGAACTTGTCTCTCACAAAAAAAATCAAATTCTTAGAAGTAACAGAATAAGCTGGTATCAGAAAGGAAAATGTACTGAAAAAAATACCCAAAACATTACTACTACCTTAAATTTCTTTTCAGTTCTAATTCTTAATCAACAGTTTGACAATCACTCTAGTCTACTTTCCTACTTCTCTTCTCCCTAACCTTTTCACATGGTTTTTCTAACCCACTCTGCTCTTTATCTAACAAATAACTGCTATATTTTCCATTAGTATCCTGATTTAATATACGAAGATTAGGATTTCAGTATGTCACATTTGGAGTAACTTTGTGAAAGGGCCTTCAAAACCAAAATTAAACAAGAAAATTTCATGTTAAAGACAGACCTGAATATATTTTGTAACCTTTAAAATTTAGAAATTCAATTTTCATCTCTGGCAATACATATTTTTAACCACATGGATTTACACTGGCCAAAACTGGTATAGAAATATTTCTTTTTGATTCATGCTGCTCTGATTTATACGATCACTACATTAAATTAATTATATGACAAACACTGAAAAAGCACTGAATTTTCCTATTTAAATTCATTAAAAAAATTTTTTAAAATAAAAAAGCTTCATTAGTAAAAATGTAGCAGTTAGATTCTCTAAGATGTGAAATAATTTTGCTTACTAACTTTAATTCAAATTCTAATTAAATTAAGCATTTTCAGTATTTGATGACAAGTTCACACCAATCATTTTTCTACAACAGATTTGTTTAACACATATTTATAAAAATTCAGCTTTCGTTTTTCATAGAATCTTTTTATATAGCATTAATGAGAAAGTAAATTTTAATAAGCGGAAAAACATAGAGAACCAGTCAGAATAACTACTAAGCATTATTTTTCTATTTGTTTATCACACTTTTTAAAACAAAGATATTCAAACAAGTGGAAACATTGTATTAGTAGTGCAGTAAATGTAATGTGATCTATGCATATTAAAATTATTTAGAAGAATGAAATTTAGGATCATATGATAACATTTTAGTAATTTACAATGAAGTGATTTTGGCAGAATGTATTAAAGAACATTTTCAGTAAGTCTGAAAAGGCTAAACATTAATGCTTAAACAAAATCAGTTAACTCAGTAAATTTTTGTGTGTGTGTGTTCAGATATTCAATTTTAGAAGCAGGCGTACAAACATTATTAATAATGCTAAAATGTAATTGGCTAATTTGGCCATGGCATGCAGCTCAATGCACTGGCAATGAAAACAATCCAACCCAAGATGATTAAGCTCAATGTAAATTTAGTTGGCTGGTAAGATAGCAAAACAGAGTACCAGAGAATGTCCTGGAAGTGCAGCGTACCTGACGGCTGTGTGCTGGATGCTTCTCCATACTGATGCAACTCTAAAAATACATTGTTCAATTGTATAAATAAAGCCAGGTTCTAAGTTAATTAAGAATTAACAAAATATAATAAATAAGCTACTGGCTCATTTTGCTACTTCACTCATTTGGTACGCAACTGCCTACCTAGTTAATTGTACAGAGGGTATGTTGTTGTAGTTAAGTGACGTTGACTCAGTTCCAACCCATAGCGACCCTGTATAGGGTTTCCGAGGAGCGGCTGGTGAGTTTGAATTGCCAACCTTGCAGATGAAACCGACTAATCATTCCAGCGCATTAATCCACAGCACCATACCAGGACTCCACAGAGGGTATGGGAGCCGATAGATATAAATGATAGTAGCAGGAAGTTAGAGGTGTTTGGGATGAGGTAAAGAAAAGGACTGGATATATAAATTTATAAAACTGCCTGGATATGGTACTGAATGGCTAGGAAGAATACACTGTCATCTAACCATGCGTGTTGATCCATGGTTATCTGTGGGACAGAATTTATTTTCTATCTATAAACTCAGACTTTCTGAGACAATTCAGATTTTAAATGCACCTGCTGCTGTTGTTGTTTTCAGGTGCCTCTGAGTCAGTTCTGAGTCACAGTGACCCTGTATAGAGTTTCTGAGGAGTGGCTGGTGGGTTTGAACCACCAACCTTGAGGTGGTTAGCAGTCCAGTACAACTACTAACCCTAACCAACTACTCTATCTGTTAGCAACCTATATCTAACAGTAACAAACACCAGGTTTAAGGGGAGATACATTGGATGTGATGGTTGAGGTATGTACCAATGTGGGCAGTAATGAATCACAGCAGTTTGGCAGTTACATAATGATGTTGTCATCCTCTATTTTGTGATCTTGATTTCCCCATAATGTTGATTTCTGCAAAACAAGCTGGTCTTTGGAACCTAACCAAGTGAGGTTAGGTTCACGTAACAAAACAAGCTGCTCCTAATAAAACTCTTCAGGAGTTGCCATTATTCATGGACTAGAAACCACACCTCCTTTTGTAGAGTATTTGTCAGACCAGTGATCTCATTCTCAAGGCACAAAGAGCTGGTCATGCAATCTAATCCGAGATAAAATTTTGGCAAATTCTATGAAAGTTCTGTGAAATATTCCGAGATAATTTTGTCAGTGGTTTTGTTTTTATATTGAGATTAAAAACATTTACTTTTTGATAATTATTAAATTAAATTTAAAGGAAATAAAATTATTGCTCAAAAATGGGTTTATACTTATACAGTGATCCATTTTTATCTTTAACATTGAAATTGACTTTTAGTTTTTCAATGTATGAGTTAGCATTGAAAGTGTGCAAACAGCTTCAGTAAATGTAAAACTTAAAAGTTAATTTCAATTTTGCAAAATTTAATCTGTTACTAATTCAACAGGTACTTAAAATATTTTAAAAATTTGTTTTCACGTAACACTTAGGGTAAAGTATATTCTTCAAGGTAGTAAAATAAGTATTGGACTCATTTAGTCAATTTTACTGTTTTGGTCAATTTTAACTTTCAGAAATTTGAGCAAACTATGCCTCGTGCTATGAATAAAAGAGACCACACACACATTGGTCTTCTTGCTTTGTAACTTTCTGAACTAAAAAATGATTCACCTTGTATTTTATTTTGCTCTGTATCTGTTTTTATGAGAACTCTCTTTAGAGAAAAATTAATCAGCACAATTTCAGAGCAATTCTAGGAAAAGTTTGTTCTTTTTCATCTAAAAGTGACTTCTGAAGGTACGATTCTTACTTTTTCATCTATCACACTAATTTTAGAACAGTACTCCCACACTCGAAAACAGACTAACCTGACTTTACTTTGAACTGTGAAAATTTGTCTGAAAAATCAGCTAATTCAACCTTTGAATAAAACTCTCTATAAATGACCGTAATAATCCTAAAACTATTAAAGAATTGATTTCACTGGATTTAGTATGATTATATTTTATTAAATGTATTCTAAGCAACTCGCTATAGGTTATGTCCATTAACTATGCATTCATTACAAAAAAGCAACTGCATACCACCAGTAGTGTGGCAGAAAGATGAGGCTTTCTGCTCCTGTAAAGATTTACAGCCTGGGAAACCCTGTGCAGGGTCGCTATGAGTCAGAACCACTTCCACGGCACATAACAACAACAACCACCAGTAAGTAATCTAGTTAACATTCTAACCACAAATGATACATGAATGACCAACAAACTAGATAAAATACAGAAGGACAAAAGGCTTTTAAATTAAGAAGATGTACAAACTTACTCAGACAAGAAATACAAATTAAAATTGTATTGTGGTAGTATTTTCTACCTGTCAGATGAGCAGCAAGGAGCTCTGGTAGCATAGTGGTTACGAATCAGGCTGCTAACCTCAGGGTCATCAGTTTGAAACTACCAGCAGTTCCGCGGAAGAAAGATGAGGCTTTCTGCTCCCGTAAAGATTTACAGCCTGGGAAACCCTGTACAGGGTCGCTATGAATTGGAACCAACTCCATGGCACATAACAACAACAACTACTACATGTCATTTGGTACTTTCCTAACAGATTGGTGAGAAAATTGGTTCAATCCTTTGAGAGAACATATTGGCAAACAATGGTCTTAGGTGCCACTGAGTCTCAACTCATTCCAACACCAGATGCAACAGAACAAACACTGCCTGGTCGCACACCACCTTCGCAATCATTGCTATGCTTGAATCCACTGTTTTGGCCACCGTGTCAATCTACCTCAGTGTGGACCGTCCTCTTTTTTGCTGACCCTCTAATTTAATCCTGATGTGGCACTGCAGAGTTAAAGCACTGGACTGCAAGGGTGGTTTGAACCATAAAGTCGGTGGTTCAAACTCACCAGCTGCTCCTTGGAAACCCTATACAGGGTCGCTATGCGTCAGAACCCACCAGACAGCACTTAACAACAACTAATTGACCAAGCATGGTGTCCTCCTCCAGAGACTGGTTTCTTCTGATAACATGTCCAAAGCAGGAGAGACGAAGTCCCACCATTCTCACTTCTAAGGAGTATTTTGGCTATACTTCTTCCAAGACAGATTTGTTCTTTAGGCAGTCCATTCTTTGCTGACATCATAATTCAGAGGCAACAACTCTTTAGTTTCCTTATTTACTGCCTGAATAAAATCATTATCAACTGTTCTTACTTATTGTTGGTAAGTGCTATCAAGTTGGACTCACATTGACCCTGTATAGGGCTTCCAAGGAGCAGCTGGTGAGTTTGAACCACCAACTCTGTGGCTCAAACCGTCCTTTCAGTCCAGTACTTATCCTATAGCACCATACCAGGGCTATAGATATTTTCCTATCACAAGCAGCACTGAACTTCAAGACAGATCTTGAGATGACCTTTTTGATGATGAATGTGGTACCAGTCCTCTTGAATTTATCACTCCTCTTCTAATAAACCATAAGTTGTAGATTCAAAATGGCCAATACCTATTCATTTCAGTTCACTAATGCTTAGGATACTGA